CTGTACTGTACTGCAGCCCATTGAGGCGTACCACGTTCAAATCTAATGGAGTTTATTAAAAAAAGTCTAATATAGTTTTCCACATTCCAAAATGGAAATCATGTTCGTTTGAACTTATCAGCAGGCTTATCAGCTAGAATATATATTATTTTTCTCTCACAACAAAACAACTTCAGTCAACCTTTAATAACAGCCGAACGTGCCCCTATGCTCCGTTATATGGAGAACGACGCAGCAGTGCCGCGGTGCCAGTCCGCGCGTGGCTGCGAAATCTTCAGCGCTATAAACACGCGTGGGATTGAGATTCCTCTCGCGATGTCAATCCGCTGGTCCACTGCAGTGCGCTCACTGTTGGGTCTGTGCTGTGCCTCTCAGGCCAAACTGAAGTCCTACAGAGCCACATACTAGTACTAGGGGAGGAATCCCCAGCTGGAGCAGTAACTTACACGTATTTACTAGGGTCTTATTTAGATTGCCTCAAAATTCTAAGTTTTTTTTCTCTTCTTTTATCACATCAATTTTTGGACGTATGTATGGAGCATTAAATGTAGGTAAAAAAAATAACTAATTACACAGTTTGGTTGTAAATCACGAGACGAATCTTTTGAACCTAGTTAGTCCATGATCGGACAAAGTTTGTCAAATAAAAACGAAACGTGCTACAGTATCCAGATTGTAAAAATTTACAATCTAAACGAGGCCTAGTACTACCAGATAGAGAAGCGGTAACAGTCATGTGTCTCCATCGTCCATCCTGATTCTCCCTTTTGCTGCTGGGGAGATAATGTACTTACTGTACGCCATGAATTTGACCCATCGGCGGAGCCCACTGTCAGTTGAATGCGCAATCTGTAGGAACTTTTTTTTTCCTTGATGAAGTGGTTGTCATTTCCTCTTTGAATGAGCCGAATGACTCAGGAAGAAAGGCTATGCTTCATCATACGGCGCGTCTTCTCTGATTAATGATGTGGCTATTTCCACGCGCGCACATTGCTTTCAGTTCCTAGGACCGAGAGCAATTCAGGAACCTACCCCTACCCGTCCGAGAAAACAGTCAGGTGCGCGAGCCCACATCGGCTTGCCGAAACGGCGCGACGCGAGGCGACGGACCGGACGCACGCATCGGGTTCCCCTTTCCCGTTGCAGAGTAGACACAGGGGTTAGCACGTACCGATGGCACTGATCTACTTCAGTAGGCGATTGATCAGCTTTTAATTTATCTTTGGCGCACGGCATGACCATTGACCAGCACCCCATGCCTTGTGCCCTATTCGCTGGACTGATAAGCCATGATTGAAAATGTTGTTGACTGATTCGTTGTAAGAGAAAAATATTATTTATTAACTGAAAAAGTACGGCTTATAAACCAAACGGTAAACAGGACACTAATCAAGCACCGGCCGGCGGCGCTACTCGGACCGGCTGCCGAGGACGGTCTGATTCTAGCACATTGCACATGCACATGAGCTGCCTTGTGTGTCTGGAACGGCTGCTGTGCCATCGCCGGAGAAAGAAAGTTGGCTTATGCTAATATTTACGCTGAAATATTATCATAGAAAAATACTGTTTCCAAGCGGACAGGGGGAAAGGCCGAAGAGTGTCCACTCGAGCAAAGCAAGGGCGGCCGGGGTCTACGCCGTGATGTGACTCCTGCCGTCTTGCGTGCAAGCCATGAGGATAACGTAGCGTGGGGGCAGTAGGCCGGCAGAGGCCTCTCTGCCTCTCTGCTGGCTGGCTCGGGTACGCTAATTGCACTGATCACGCGCAGAAGCATAAAGCTGGCGTTTCCGTACGAAAATTACAGGCTTGTTTGTCAGAGAGGTGAGACGATGCGAGGTAATCGTAAATTCTTGGAGGAAGTCAAGAAGGCGACCCGCGCACATGCCCGGTGAATGATTCCGTCGTCCCCCGCTGCAAGCGTTGGTCCTCGTCCTCGCCGTCCCGCGGCAAAGGAAGGGGCCATGGACATGGCCATGGGAAACAGCGGAATAAATGGCAAAAGCCATCCGGCGTACCGCCACCAGGGTCCAGCTCCAGGCCGGGCGCCGGGCCTCGCAATTGCAGGTTGGCGGAATTTACAGGGTGTTCAGTGCCGGTACAGCACCAGTCCAGTCCTCCCCAGTGCAGCTGGACTGCTGCTGCTTGCTGCTTCCCCTCTCTCTCTCTCTTCGTCACAGCGACGTTGGTTGTGTTAGGCCCCGTTTAGATCCAAAATTTTTCTCTTTCGTTTTATTTCTCAATTCGTCTAATTACATTAGGTTCGACGTTCACCCAACTGTGCAATTAGTTTTTTTTTCGTCTACATTTAGCATGACCGGTGTGGTGGTGCGATCTTGGGTGACATCTAAACAGGCCCTTGGCATGACCGGTGTGGTGGTGCGATCGTCACGGTTGGTCTCACGAGCTTGATGGCGACGTACAGTGTACTAACCGCGTAATTAATTACGGATGGACGGCAAAAGGACTGGGGAGAGGTTAACACCGACAAAATCCCTGATGGCCATAGTTTACTGAAAGAGTAAACCTGCAGATATAGCAACAGAACAGAGAGCATTTACTCCGGACACACCGGTAGTAGCACGAGCACTCCTGATTTCAGAAACCACTTGAGCCCACGACGACGCATGGGCTCGACGGAGCAAATTCAATTTGAAGCAGCTGGTGGAGGGGGTGGAACTTGAGGTTTAGCCTAGGGTGCCCGCTCTAGGTCGTTCGATTGTTGCCTATGACTTAGTTTACTAGCTCGCTGTCGCTTAGCCCGTTGTTGCTTTTAGTCCTCTCGTGGTAGTAGCCGGGTTTCGTCGTAGTCTTCTTTAGTTTTTTTCGGTGTCTTCCCTCGAAACTAGTGTTGAGCCGTTGTTATTTGGCTTAATAAAAATATTCACGGCATGTTTGAAGCAGGCGGCGGCAGCAGCAGTAGTACAGTATTGTTTTGACCAGGGCATTGTATACGAACATGATACTCGACGAAATCTGCCACGCCAGGCCATCACGATGCATGGCCAGCGTCCACAGTCAAGACACTCCCCGGAAACGGCAAGTGCAGCCCGCATTGGCATGTAAACCAGGAGCCGACACCGCGGTGGATCCCGGACCGAGCAAGGAAAGAGAGCTGGAAACCGACGCCACTTTCCGATCGAGCGCGGCACCGAAATGAATGAGTAAAACAAAAGGGTTTCCCCAAAAACGCCTCGGGGTCGATCGCAATCAAGTCAATCGTTCCAATTGATACGGATGGGGGCAAGGCAACTGGCAAGGGTTTCCTTCCTTCCACGCCCGTCCAGCCAGTCCAGAGCCACCGGACCTTGCCCCTTGCATGCATGTCAGACGATGGATGGAAGCAGAGCATGAGAGCAGGGCAGGAACAGCGCCGGGCGAGCAATGCAGCGTCCCGCGCCACGCGACGCTGCCGTTTACTTCTTCTTAATTCCTTGCAAGTAGGTGGTGCGACGGAGGTGGGGAGAGAGGAGAGGAGAGGAACGCGTCGCGCGCAGCGCAGCCCCAGCTTCTGTGGCTCCTACGGGCCGGGGCCGAAATCGTTGCGAGATCGGATCGATCGCTGCCCCTGCCTGCAGCGCCGTGCCGTGCCTCCGCCGTCGTCGCCGCCGGGCCACCGGCTGTCTCGCGCCCGCCGGACCAGACCCACCCAAGACGTGGCGGTGGCGCTCCGGCCGGATGATGAACCGGTACGTGCGTGCGTTTCTCACAGAACCGACAACCCACAGCAAAGCGAAGCAAAGAATAGAACAACGTACGTAGGTGCTTTGATGAGACGCACTGTGCGATGCGTGTGCGACGATCGATCACACAGTTTTCCGCTCCTGCTATGCGCTGGAATCGAGCTTGCCATCAGCATCATCTGATACAGTGGAGCGAGCCGTGCGAGATTCGCATTGCCTGTTAGAGGCATGTTCACGTTCGGCTGGTATTAAAGCATGCGGCTGAAGCTGTTTGTAGTAGACTCTAGGAGCGACGCGGCAGCGTCGCTTATGGCCGATCGCGCAACGGAGGAGTAGGGCCGCGGCTCTTTGCTGGGTCGGCGATGGGGCACGCACGGGGGCCGAGCGGGGGCGGGGAACACGATCGATACGCCGTGCCACACCACGCACGGTGTGCAAGGCGAGGCAAGGCAGAGAAGACAGCCCGGGAATCTGGACCATCAGAGCAGGCAGAGGCCCCCCGAGCCCCCGGCCCGACGCCCCGACCCCAGCAGTGTTAAATGCTCCGTCCTCTGATCGGGTAGATCGCGATTAGCAGCTACCGGACTTTCGGACTTTTCTTTCGACTTATAATTCGTACTTTTTCCGTCAACAGATAATCAATCTGGTTTAACAGTGTTTTTCTCTTACAACGAAATAATACCAACCAAACTTATCATCTTAGAAATCGACACCCACCGAATATTTTTCTCTCGCCCCCCATCTTAGAACAGGGCGCAGACGCTTCCGCGCCGGGGGACGAGCCGGCACTGCCCTCGCGCGCCCCGCCGCGCTGACAGCCGGGGCCCTGTCTGCGCCGGGATCGCGGCGCCCGAAGAAGATATCGTGCCGCCCCAGCCGGCCGGCCCCCAATACAGGCAAACGCCACCGTCACGCCCCGGGCCCCGGCCGGCCCTTTCCTTCCTCTACCACTACTCTATTTATGCCTCACACCGACCTCGGCGCACCACGCCTCGGTGATCTCTGCGTCGCTTTCTCGCTTTGGCACCCCCTGCTCTGCCTCTGCTCACTGGCATTTGCTGCTGCTGCGCTGCGCTCGTAGTAGTCACTGTGCACCCGCCCTGCCCTGCCGCCAGAAGGAAAGGAGGATCCCGAGCAGTCAATTGCGCCGATCCCCTGGGGGTATTAAGGGGAAAGGAGCGAGGAGCGAGGCTGAATTGCTGTGAGTGAGGCCGGCCGTGCGAGAGGGAGGAGGATCAGGCGGCGAGGGTTGTGTTGTGTCGCTGCGCAGCCGCAGCGCAGGTTCAGTGCAGTCGGACGCGGGCGGCGCCGCGGCGGGCGATGGGGCGATCGCCGTGCTGCGAGAAGGATGGGCTGAAGAAGGGGCCGTGGACGCCGGAGGAGGACCAGAAGCTGCTCGCCTACATTGAGCAGCACGGCCATGGCTGCTGGCGCTCGCTGCCCGCCAAAGCCGGTGAGCTCGATCGCAAGCTAGTACTAGTAATCGTAGTCCTGCGCGGTTCAGCCAGCAGCGTTCGGCTACGCTGTCTGGTTTTGCTCCTTCGTAACTGACATGCATACGCGAATGGTGGCCGTGGCGCAGGGCTGCAGCGGTGCGGCAAGAGCTGCCGCCTCCGGTGGACGAACTACCTCCGGCCGGACATCAAGCGGGGCAAGTTCAGCCTGCAGGAGGAGCAGACCATCATCCAGCTCCACGCGCTGCTCGGCAACAGGTGAGGGCTCGACTCCATCCGTGGATAATGGATGGGTTACTGTCCTAGAACCACCGGCCAGTACCCTGCACCCGGAATTCAGTTAATCGCACGGATTTTGACTGGTAGCTCGAGCGGCCGGCCGGCAGGTCAAGAACTCACTAGCATCCGTCCCACACCCTAGTCTTGCACATTTATGATGATTAGGTAATGCATGAGCGGGTACCTAGGCTAGGAGCACATGTCCAAGTTTTTTTCTCGGAGTACGCTCTAGTCACCGTACACATGTTTTTCTCAGAGGCTTTACATGAACCTTCAGTACATTTTGGCACCTTAGCTAGTCGGAGTACTACTACTAGTAACTGAAAATTTTTGAACCTTAGCAGTAGTGTATATCCGTACAAAAGGAGCATTGTAAACTTGTTGTCTAGAGTCTTGAGTCTAGGCCTTGTCTAGATCCTTGTTAGAAATTGATAATTATCAGATTGTAGAAGCTTTTCGTTTCAGGTTTAAAAGATTATTCTCGTAATTTACAATCAAACTGTGTAATAAGTTATTTTTATCTCGTATATTTAATCAATCTATACATATAATTAGTTATTTTTTGATCTATATTTAAAAAATTTAAACATATGTTTAAAGATTCCCTGGTAGAGTTATCGTAGTGCATTGTTCATCTTTCGCCTGTCCAACACCAACTGCTGAGTTTTCGTGAATTGATCCATCAATGCATAGGCATCATCTCGGGAAAAAGCGTGAGAAAGCTGGGCCACGGCAGGCTCTTCCCGAATTTTGCTTTCTTTTTTCCGCCATGATTCGGCATTCAAGCTTGCCATTCAATGAGGAGCCCGGCGGCCCCCGTCCGTCGCTGTGGACCAAGGTCCACTGTAGCCACCTGCTCTCTTGCCGTTTTGACTCATAGTTGCTGTCACCTCTGCACCGTGTCTGTGCCACGCCATGCACTCGTTACTGTCTCGCACGCCCGGCCGCGGTGGTTTTACGCTCGCCGCCGATGCAGATTTGTCAACGCGCGCGACTGCTTGCTGAGAATTTTTTCATGGCGTCCGCGCCGTGCTCGTTCATGCAGGTGGTCAGCGATCGCGACGCACCTCCCGAAGCGCACCGACAACGAGATCAAGAACTACTGGAACACGCACCTCAAGAAGCGGCTGGCCAAGATGGGCATCGACCCGGTCACTCACAAGCCGCGCTCCGGCGCGCTCGGGACAGGCGGAGCAGGAGGGGCCGGCGCCGGCGGCGGTGCCGCGGGCGCGCAGCACGCCAGGGCCGCGGCGCACCTCAGCCACACAACGCAGTGGGAGAGCGCGCGGCTCGAGGCCGAGGCGCGCCTGGCGCGCGAGGCCAGGCTGCGCGCGCTCGCGGCCTCCGCCGCCTCCGCGTCCGCGTCCGTCTCGGCGCCGCCGCCACAGATGCCCGGAGGACCCGCCGCGGCGCACCGGCTCGACTCGCCGACGTCCACGCTCAGCTTCTCCGAGAGCGCGGCGCTCGCCTCGGTCCTGCAGGAGGCTCACGGCGCCGCAACGGCTGCGGCCGCGGCCACGCGCGCCGCCATGCAGCCCATGCAGGCGTACGAGGTGGCGTGCAAGGAGCAGCAGCAGCAGCAGTGGGGCGATCACGTTGTCAATGTCGCTGACGCAGGCTTCGCCGCGGCGGGGTTCACGGGCCTGCTTCTCGACGGCTCCTTGAGCCAGCAGGATCTGAGGCCGGCGACGAGGCACGACGAGGACGCGGCCGAGGCGGACGCCGGGCTGCAGGAGACGGAGGAGGAGAAGAACTACTGGGACAGCATAATGAGCCTGGTAAACTCGTCGTCGTTGCCGACATCATCAGTAGCAGTGCCCGCTCCCGAGGCGTACCCGTCTTCGGCGTCGTTGCAGACGTCAATGGCGATGCCCGCGCTCGAGGCGTACTCGTCTCCGGCGTCGTTGCAGGCGACGTCCGTGGCGATGCCCGCGCTCGAGGCGTACTCCTCGTCAGCGTCGTTGCAGACGTCAGTCGCGATGCCGGCGCCCGAGGCGTACTCGTCGTCGGCCTCGTTGTCGACGTCAGTCATCGCTGTGCCCGCGCCCGAGGCCTACTCTCCGGCGCTGGAGTTCTGACTCGTGAGCCCTGGACATGTTGGCCGGCATGCAGCCCCGGGAAATGAAACGACACAGTAAATAGCTAGCTACTTATTTCGGAACAATAAGGTCGAACTACTAATGTTGATGGTTAAATCGCGCTCTTGGGTTAATTCTGACAGCACCCTGATTAAACATTGTGAGTAAGATGGTTGTACCGAATTTAGAATCTGTTACTCGTTCATCAGTTGCCAAAGCTTCTTGTAGACTGTAGAACAGTGACCAGAGCGTCTCGTCTTTGCTCTGTATGTAATTCGACAACCATTTTCATCAGCAGTATAGTGGAGCAGTGTAGCTAATCGAAATGGGAAGAACTCTTTTTTTTTCTCGTCTGAGCCCATATATCTTAGAATCCAACTGTTCAAGTTTGTATATGTGGCACTATATAGTACTGATAATGTACGTACTTCCCACTGTATATTGGTCTTTGACTCTTTGTATTCTTTCGTTCTGAAAAGAGGTCCTTTTTTACGCTGAAACAATAGAGCAGACGGATATCGATAGGGCCTTCGCAACATGTTGGGCCTGCTCTTCAGACAGGCCAAGCCCATGACAGGCCTGGTCCAAATTTTATCCAGCCCGCTCGGTTCTTGCCATTTGGAGTCGAGCGCACCAGCTCTGTCGGGAAGAGAAAAAGGGCAAGGAAGATAAGAAGGCTCTCGCGCAGGTTCGTTGTTCCTCTTATCCGCGGAGGAAGAACCTTGGCCCGACACCATGCTCCCAATGGCCGTGCACCCCACGACCACGCCGGCCTTATCCCCGCGCGCCCGCGTCTCCCCGCCCAGGCCTTCCACCTCCCTGGCCGCCACCTCGTCCTCTCCCTGCTCTCGCACCGTCAGTTTCAAGAGCAGCGTCGTCGCCGCTGCCGCCGCCGATGCCGTCGGGGCAGAGGAAGAAGAGGTGCAGCTAGGTGGAGGTGTGGATGCGGTCGACGAGGAGGAAGCGGAGGTAACGTCCTTTGGAAATTATGCAGTCGTTGTCTGTACAACTGGAAATTATGCAGTTAAAATTTAAAATGGTTATGTTTCGTTGGCCTCTCTAAGTGCATCATATGCTCAGTAGAACTCAATTCCAACGAATTGGACCCCGATTCTTCAATTTTGGCTCTTCAATTGATTATTAGGTTTAACGTTCAGTGTGACACCAATTGCCCTTGGCTAGCTTACTGTTTACCATGAATTTGGTCACAACTACTAGAAGGGACAATTCAGGTTAGCTGGGCACCTTCGGGGGATGTTCTGGTGAAGCCTTGAGCTTCGGCTGACAATGATGTATACATGTTGAAAAATAGCCTTTACCTGAGCTTGCTGTTGTGCCACAGCTGTTGCTTATATGGAAAGGAGCTATATATTCTGATGCGCTGAGATGTTGCGAATGTGAATGTAATGAGAGCGTCTGTAATTCGGTTCCTGAGTGGTATATATGAATAGTCTTTGTTTTCATTGTCGAAACATAGTTGTTTATATTGAACTAAAGCGAGTCTATGGTTTTACCAAAATTACTGTTTAGAACACTAAGAAGTGGGTTTTGGTGCTGAAATACCAATGATAGCAGCATCACAAAGCTAACAAAAGGGGAACACTAGCTTCAACATTTGATGTTTCCCGCTTATTTTTGTGATGTGGGTCGTGTTAAAACCGCACACTTAAGCTTTACTAGGATGGAGATATTTTTGTTTCATCGTCAGAATGAAAATTGAGATGACCTAAATCTTGTATTGCAGAATAAGGTGGTGGTGCCCGGGAGACAGGACCCGATGCTGGTACTCAAGTTCATCTGGATGGAGAAGAATATCGGCATAGCACTCGACCAATTGGTTCCTGGCTATGGCAGCATCCCGTTAAGCCCATACTACTTTTGGCCACGGAAAGACGCGTGGGAGGAGCTTAGAGCGAAGTTGGAAGAGAAAGAGTGGATCTCGCAGAAGCAGATGATCATCCTTCTCAACCAGGCCACCGATATCATCAACCTCTGGCAGCAGGGTGGCGGGAGCCTGTCGACATGAGTCCCTCCCCACCCTGTTCTTTCAGCCTTGCAAGCTTGCGTTTTTGTTTGGTTTCATTACATGCCCTCTCTGTTGTTAATGTTAAAGTCATGGTACATGGCCTTGTAGATCGGTCAATATGTTCTCAGGTATGTTTTTTTTTCCATGGAAATGATCTTGTGATTTATCTTAGTTATTATGTGTATCAGTCGTTTTTATGTTGGGAAAAATCAAGAAACAGAAATAAAATCCTTTTCGGTATGGTTACAAGTCAATTTTTTGTTTGCCAACAACAAAGGAAAAACCAACTGTCTGATTCGCTAACAAAAATCAACACAATATTTTCCACAACACTAGGAAATGCAAACCGGGTACATCATGATATCTATTCTGACATTGTCAATGTCCAAAACACCACTTATCTAAATACTCTAGATCTAGCACATTCCAGCACATCGGCCTGTTCGCTGGTTGGTTTCTGGACTGGTTTGGGCTGGCTGGTGCTGATTTGTTGTGAGAGAAAAACACTATTGGCTGGCTGGTTTGGGCTGGCTGAAATCAACAAGCGAACAGGGTGATAATAGCCATGCCACGTCATCGATAGAACTTTTTGTAGCATCACGGCGTGGAGGAGAGGGACATAGGCCATCTGATCAGAAACTAGAATAGACCTTTGATCGCGCTAGAAAAGAGCCTTTGAGTCCTGAATTAAAAATAGCGGGCTAGCAGCACGTACCATCAAATCTTTAGCATCTATAAAAATATTAAACTCATTTCAAATCATTTTAAATTTAATTTTGAATTAGAACATAATTTGGAGCATGTGCTTTATTAAGGAGCTTTGGATTTTACCTGAGCACATATGTAACAAATTTCATGACAAAACTTCTTCGACCATGAATTTACATGATTTTTCTAGATTTTTGAGACATTTTTGGGCTAAATAGTAAATATAGCTCAGGTAAAATCCAAAGTGTGTTGCATGGATCAGTACACCATCCGTCCTTTTTAAATGCCATCCTCATATACGAAGGTGTCGAACATACTCAACTTTGATCAAATATATACGACAAATTACTAATATTTATGTTGCGTAATAAATATTATTAGATTAATCATTAAATATATTTTAATAATACACTTATTTATATAAATATTACTAATATCTTTTATAAATATAATCAAATTTAATATAGAAAACATTTACAAAAGAGACGGAGGGTGTATATAGTGTAATCATAGTGACGAGTCGCGTAATAGCCTATGGCATGACTTAGATTAGTTTCTAAAAAAATAGTTTAGGATATATCTTTTTTTAGTATTTTTAGGTTAAAAGAGTGTTTGCATCCACACCGGGTTCGAAAAATGAAGCAAAGGACCCACACTTAAAAAGAAAATGATGCCCTCTATTAATCGAGTATTTAAAATCCTCTGTTTAGCCTCTCTAGGTTAGGTTCATTTCTTTACGAGTCCATGTCTTTGCCTTTTTTTTATTTAACCCATCTGCCGTATTTCATTCCTTCATGCTGGCTGATCCGTCCCCTGCATGTCATAGCTATTGGCGGTTATGCTTAATCAGATTGCAAGTTCTTATTCAACTAAATTGAAGTATTTCTATTATTACCCAATCAAAAAAACTTTATTCTTTTAGTTTTATTCTAGTGAAATTCATTTCATTTAAGTGATTTTTACTACGTCAGAATAGCACTTCACTGCCGGTTCAAAATACCCCATCGCTGTCGGATTTTGAACCGACACAACCATACCGGCAGTGATGAGGGTAAGCTATCACTGTCGGTTCCTATAAACCGACAGTGTTCTTCAACTTCACTGCCGGTTCTTTACACAATCGGCAGAGTTCAGTTCCATAAACGCTGCCGGTTCATAAGATCACCTAGTAGAGTTTAGTTCCACCAATACTGTCGGTTTGTGTTTCAACCGGCAGTGTTGTCGTAAGAATTACTGCCGGTTTGTGACAAGAACCGGCAGTGATGGCTAAGCCAACGTTGCCGGTTTGTGGCTCCAGCCGGCAGTGCCATCACTGTCGGTTTGTTGCTAGCCGACAGTGATGTCACGTTCGCATTTTATTATTTTATAATTTATTTTAATTTATATTTTTTCGTGGAATCGGGTTTCGCTTTATATACGCTACGTAGACTACATGTCCATCAATATTAAACATTACAAATGTTACGGTTACAGTTCAAATGTTCTTATAAGATCTTGATCCCTCAAAATAAAAAAGAAATGTTCTTGGACTTCACAGATTGTGCAATGCTTCTCGGACTTCTTACAATAATCTGGCGAGCCGCTCTGGGCCATACTGGTCCTTGAACTTCACGGATTGTGTAATGAAAAATACTCCATTTTTTTTCAATACCTTGGCTAAGATGAATTTTGCCAGCTCCGATTGCAGCGCGACGATCTCCATGTCTAACAGCCTTTCGTGGTTATATTTCTTGCGCTATCGTTCAAAAAAGATGATATCCAAAGAGAAATCAGTAAATTATTTTGTTGAATGATTAACAGACATAAATGAAATGGGGATTATACACACCAATTTATCGGCTTCTTCCGATTTCCCGCCGATATAGCGAAGCATTACCCACATTATATAAAACCCGCATTCATTGTTTTCCACCGGCTGTTTTAGGTATTTTTCCTCCATTTCGATAACCTTGAATGGGACCTGCGTCCCACCGATACGTCTTCTTCGGACACCGAGCAACATTAAAAGGAGAAACGTTAGAAAGCGGTATGTGTGATTAGAAAATAATATATTATTAGGATCGCTTACTAATTCAGCACTGCCACCGGTGCATCCAGATGATGAAATGGTTTTTTCTTCGAGTCCCACACCTCGATCAGATTTTTAACAAGATTAACACAAATAAAGACGAAATGGTGGCTGCAATCACAGAATCCTAATTATCGAATAATCTTAACAAAAAAAGAAGCATAAAATTAAAAGCCAAGAACATATACTCGCAGTTGT